TTTTTTTTTTTTGCAAAAAACAACCCCGGCGAATAAGCAGGAAAAGTCTGAGGATGTAGAAAACACTCATTTGAGCCTTGCAATCCAAACTGCGCATAATTTCGTATCTGGTGGCTGAGATGAGATACTGAAGCAAAGAAAATCAGCTTATCGAGCACCGTGCGGAGCACTACAAGCATAAACCAAAACTGGGGTGAACAGAAGATCCTCAACTGAGGACCGCAGCAACGTGTTAAACGGTGAGAGCTTAAGCGAAATGCAGAATTTGCCAGGGTGTGGTATAATTCTCGCGGAAAAGTCGAAGTATAATGGTTTTTAGCATCGATTCAAATCCAGAGAAAATATATCTAGCAATCGCAACAACTAATTTGACCGATCAAATAACTATGCCAATGTATATCCATGTCTGCAAAAAACAAAGACAATCAGACCAACCACATTCTCGATTTTGACTCGCTCCTTCATTTGCACTTCGTGAATTTACCAAAAAATACAGATAACCTGTAAAGCACCACAAATAAAAAGTAGCAATTACCAAACACAGAGACTAGCAGCACGTATCCCGAATCAATAGCACTTCGTACAGCATACAATGAAAAAATTGAAAAGCTTTAATAACGCTGAGAATGAACAAAAGCTTAGCATCAGAAGTCCACTAAAAAAAAGCCGAATTTCACAAGAAAACGCAGAGAAAAATTCCGCATCACTGATATTTGTAATTTATGGGCCTTCGAAATTCCGATTACTTGAGACCCCTGACTACGAAATCTTGGTACCAATACAACGATCTGAAAAAATTTTCCTCCAATTTTATCCTCTGCTTTCACAGACTTTCAAAAAAACCAATCTTTTTTCGTTGGTCCAAAAAACCCCGCTAAGTGGCGCCTTGCAAAAATGAAATTATACATTTACTGGCTGACCGGTGACAAATGAATGTATCTGTAACCGTTAAAGCAAGAAGACATGGATGAGCTTCAAAATCAAAAATGATGGAAGTGGATTTCTGAGAAAAGTACAACGATATTCAGAGTTATTCTTTATGGAATCACGCTGAATGGTATTTGTGGAAATTGGACCGATATTTTAGGAGTTATAATCGGAAAAAAAAGGTCACTTTGCGCAACGGTCGGTTCAGAGCAGCTCTGGACAAGCTACACAGACTTATGAAGCTTCTATCCACCTGCCATATGCTAGCTAAATACTCTTGAAAAGTCGAAATTTAATTTTACTTCAAACTAAAAAGATGGACATCTACAATTAATGCCATAAAAAATAATGTGGGAATTCAAATCTGATT